AGCAACCAGCAAAGTTAAGAGAAGACTTAAACTGAGGCTCATGTTTCATTGCTATTTAAATTAACATTGCAAAGCTCAGGATAGGAGTAAACTTGAATTACTTCCGTAACTACGTGCATACATGATCTGACATGACATATAAAACTAAGCTTTGTAAGAGCCGATGGCTTGCCTGATAGGAGTATGCAGAAGAACCACCACTCTTTTGAAAGAACCTTGCCATATCAATGCAGACCTCATCAGAGGAGGCAGTAATTGAGTGGGATACATTTTCTGGAAAAATACAGGTCAGATGGTGCCAACTGCCAAATATTTCTGTTTGTGAGGGTAGCAGTTGATGGTGAGACACATTGGGGAAGCCCAGAGTTTGGCCTCACTGGTGTTATTCTCTGACAGCAGCTGGTAGTGGGTGCCTTGGTAGAAGTAAGAGAAGAATCTAGGGGTACTTTTCCCATCCTTGGGTGGTTTGTGTGCAAGCAAGCGTACTGTTCTGCTCATTCAAGCTGGTGGCATCTGGTGTGATTGCTCAGAGGTGATTTCAGGTTGCCTTGGGCAGACAGGAGCACTCAGCAGGTCCTGGACTTGGGTCACAACAACCCCACGCAACGCTACAGGCTTGGGGGAGAGCGGCTGGAAGGCTGTCCAGTGGAAAAGGACCTGGGGGTGTTGGTCAACAGCCGGCTGAATATGAGCCAGCAGTGTGCCCAGGTGGCCAAGAAGGCCAGCGGCATCCTGGCTTGTGTCAGAAATAGTGTGGCCAGCAGGAGCAGGGAGGTGATTGTTCCCCTGTACTGGGCACTGGTGAGGCCGCCCCTCGAGTCCTGTGTTCAGTTTTGGGCCCCTCACTACAGGAAAGACATGGAGGTGCTGGAGCGTGTCCAGAGAAGGGCAACCGAGCTGGTGAGGGGCCTGGAGCACAAGTCCTGTGAGGAGTGGCTGAGGGAACTGGGGCTGTTTAGTCTGGAGAAGAGGAGGCTGAGGGGAGACCTTATCGCTCTCTACAACTACCTGAAGGGGGGGTGTAGGGAGGTGGGGGTTGGTCTCTTCTCCCAAGTAACAAGCAATAGGACAAGAGGAAATGGCCTCAAGTTGCACCGGGGGGGGGGGGGGGGGAAGCCTCGGGTGGAGGCCAAGGGGGGGGGGG